GAATACAGCATTGTGCATGTATTTCATGTTTGTTGCCCCCTTAGGCACAACCAGAGTTATAAGACATAGCTCTACAGAAAAACAAGTTATGGAAACAAATTAAATCCTTTAAAATAAACTCCTCGGGCTCAGTTCTGCCTCCGATGACCCACATATGCACCGGTTCACCCTTGAGGACAGCAGTACAGTATGACTAATTCTGGCCATGAATCTCTCCCCGCTGAAAGGCTGTCATGGAAGTGATTTGGCTCAGTGAAGGCTCTCCTGGCTGGGCTAAAGACAGTCTGAAAGCCCCCATCAGGCTCTGGTGGTCTCTCCTGGTTGTCTCTCTTTCAGCGCTGGGAGAGATCAGGCACGGCTTCAAGAATTCAACTAACACACAAGTAAAAGCACTGAAAAAAGAGTACAGATCATCTTAGTTTGCACACACTCACACGCAAAGACAGGGAGACAGTTGCATCACAACATATCCTGAAGGATACTGATAATCAAAGCTGACATATGGAATCTGAGTTAGGGGTGGGATTTAAAGGGGAGGCGGGTTTAATGTGTGTTTTAAGTGTGTAACTATGTGTTCATGTGAGGACAATGCAATCCTCATCTGGTTTCTGTACTGGCTTGTCATCTTTTATACCATGTGAGCTACAAGAGGGACCCCAAGCCCGACCAAGCCCCCGCATTCCTGCTCCTACTGGGCTGGGCACATAATGCAGTCTGGTCCGTGTAAAACAAATGACTTGCTTCTCGCAACGTGAGCCCGTGTAGTCGCCACAGCGCTCAACCACAAGTCTCACTAGGATCATTTTACTTTCACGGAATAACAAGAATAAAACTTGATGTTACAACTATGTATCTTTAAAACATATGTTCTTGTTTGTCTAAACATGAATCCAAAGAAAAACATCCTCTACTTTAATGACCACAGTTGAAAAAATCTGTGACATTATGGGTGCCTATTGCTCTTGGGTCATGTAGGCAGCCTGCTTCTCAAGCCATTTGTATTTACCTTAGGTTGACATATGGTGTGTCTGCGTCTGTGTCAGAGTTTACATACATGTATACAAAAGTGTGCGCTGGAAAGAAAGAGATGGGAGACAATTGAGTAAGGAGAAAGCAGGGAAGGGAGGGCTACTAAAAGTATTTCCCCGGGCTCTGAAAGCACAATACACACAGACAGTGGTGTGTTTTCACTGTAGCCAGAGCACTGCCTGGCGAAATGTGGTTCTATTTAGAGGGGAGAGGGAGGGACTGCTGCGAGAGAGAGGGAGGAAAGACAGAAAAAAGGAGGGGGGGGAGACACACACATACATCCACACACACATAAATAAGCTTGAAACTCCTTAAGGGTCTAATTCTTTGTTCCCATCTATCCCAGTCTTTCATGGTGTCAGTGTGAGACTGTGAGACTCCCTACGAGCTTCTGCAGCACACCACAAATCATCCTGCAGGGCTCTGAGCATGTTGACGGCTGGTCCTATACAGCACGCTGCATGTTCCCTATTAGCATGAATCGCCATGTTCAATAGGTTGAAGTGAGGAGGGGGTGCGAACCTGTAGCTGGTTGTGTTTTGACATTTGTGTGTAAGCCTGCACGCTCAGGAGCAGACTGTAGCAATGCTAAAATGTGACTGAATGGGAATTTCCCTGGTTAGTTTCACTGTTGTTTAAATCATGTGGTGGCAACAAAGCTGAACCCTCATTTATCAATAAACACAATGTGGAAATGTTCAGGTTTTCAAGTAAAATTTAAATGGATCCCCTGATGATTAAAAGCGGTTTTACATCATCTCATCTGCGAAAATCCTAGTCCCCCACATTCACTTTGATAGATTTACATCATGCCATGTCCTGCAGAGCTAGAACGCATCATGCACATGGTTGTAATTACACAACTTTGTTAATTTGTGTCTTGAAAATTGGACAAAATCATTAAAACAAATTGTGCGAGCCCTTAAAGGCTCATCAGATGGCGTCTGAGAAAATAAATCAGTATTTCCAGGTAGCCCTCAGGTCTACATAATGCCCTATTGTTTAAAGAAGTATTTATGACCCTTATGAAACCTGTGTGTGTGTGTGAACAGACGGAGGAGAGGATTTGAGTGTCGCTGTCCTCGGCAAACAGCCACTCTGCTTGTTGTCCTCCAAAAAGGTTTCCAGTGACAAACAGGGTCTCTCCACTCTGACAAACCAGCAGTTCTTCAGAGGTCCTTTGAGGGTTTAAAAGTGTACAACACTGTCAGAAGAACTACATCAAATGCTTCCTCACGTTTATCGGTAAAATCATTGGGTCTTCTTTTTGCTCTCAAACTGAGATTTTTTATTAACTTGCTGAGACTTTATGATAAGAACAGTGATGAACCACAAACATGAACAAAAATTTGCTCATATTGTGGAAAGCACAATAAGGTTTTAAGGGTTTAAGGTCTTTCATAATAGATATCTGGAGATGTTATGATTTTGATCGGAACATTTGTAGGGTCAAATTGTAGCATCGAGATGGCTTTGGTAATTAAGTGATACTTTATCTGTTGATCCCATTTTTCAACGGATCAATGAAGCAAAGGAACAGATGTTGGACACTTCAGCAACACAGACGTTGCCAAGTCCATGTCTTGAACTTGTATCTTTTGTTAGTCAGAGATTTCTCCTCACAATCTCTCATCAAATCCCACAAAAACACAAAAGATCATATCCAGTTGTGTAACTTCTTTTAGTAAAGTAACTCCAATTTGCTAATAAATATCATACTGAATATGCTGTAACAACAATTTGGTGATGGTCAGAATCAGACTATTTTCACATGAAATTAAAGTCTGTTTGAGTATGGGCGCAAACTGATTCATTAGCCTACATTACCTTTTGTAACTGTAGCCTAATAATGACTTTGCATTGAGAACAGGCACCTCGACTCAACCTCTGCAGTCGTTTATTGGAGCCAAAACAGTCTCTTTCCTACAGCTACACCACACCGTTTTTGTTGAGAGTGGTGAAATCAGCACAGTGGGTAGAAACACTTGAGATGTGCTCAGCTGTCCTCACCAATATACCACCCACATGACCTCTCTCTCAATGTGAACTTCCTATCAGCACTTGTGGCAACAAAGCACAAGGATGTGTCAATCACAAGCCTCAGTGGGTTGGAGGCAGTAAATAGCAGGACTATTTGGATAGCGAGCGTAAATTTGACACATTGTGACAGAGTAACATGCTCTGTATGCTTTGTTGTTAGCTTCATTTATAAATGGACTGTGATCTGGAGTTAAATTACATGTCACATTTAATTTCTACTAAATGACGCTAGATTCTGATAAATATGGCAGCTAATCACAATTTCTTTACAGGAACAATGTGTAAGATTTAGGGGGGTTTAATGGCATCGAGCGGTGAGGATTGCAGATTGCAACCAGCTGAAACTTCTCCCAGTTAGAATCCCTTCAGTGTTCATTGTTCAGGAGGTCTTACCAGGAAATTAGCCATCCGCAGTGGTTCCTTCCTCTCCAAAACAAATGGGCTTGGGGTATCATTTATAAAACAATGCATAGGATCCATACTAAAAATGTATGTACAGATAAAAGCCAAAAATAGCATGCACCAAAAAATATTCTACAGTTTCTACAATCAGGCTTCCACCTCACCATCTGTGTCGCCAATTTCCCGTCTCCAAAACGTTCATAAGCACTGGTCAATGTTTCTCCAATCAAGTCTGTTTTTACACATGACAACTTTTGGGTGGGAAGTGTCATACGCTTCTTTCTATTTATAAATGAGCCCCAGGTGATTTAAACCAGTAAAAGCATTGAAAAAAGCTGTTTCATGTTACAAATCAGTGTTTCTCAGTTGCTGTTTGGCATTTGGAGATGGGGCTGCTGGCCCGGAACCTGCTAATGTGTGCTCACATCATTTCTCTGATAACTTAATGTGCGTTTACCTTATTTGTCACTCAGACCTTCAGCAAATTTTTACCGTGCGCCCAATTATCTGCAGAGGGCTCCTTCTCACCAAAACAAACACAACCGGTGATTTAAATTGGTAAAAACACTGATTAAAGGAGTTTCACGTTACAAATTAGTGTTTCTCTGATGCTGTTCAGCTTGAAATGCAGATAGCCTAGCGCCTGCTAATGTGTGCTCACCTTTTTTTCCCGATAACTTGAGATCCCGACGTTCAGTAGGTTTTCACCGAGTCGAATTATCTGCAGAGGTCTCATCCTCTCCAAAACGGAGCCAGTGATTTAAACCTGCAAAAACACAGAATAAAACGGTTTCACGTTAAAAAAAATAGTGTTTTTCTGATGCTTTAGTTGCAGATGCCTGCTGACTTCAGGCCAGATGTGAAAACGTGAAGTGCCTTATCTAGAGCCAGTGTTTGGATTGCCTTTTCTGGGCTACTGTAGAAACACGAGGGTGCGACAGGGCAATCAGTTTAGACGAGGACCCACTTCGTATACAGATATAAACGTCTCATTCTAAGGTTACAATAGCACAGCGATTCTTATTTTCAGGTGATTATACACAAAAGAAAACATCTTGTATTATAGTCCTGCCAATATATCCCCATAAATCCCACACACTACACCTTTAATACTTTTATTCACAAACCATTATGACATCTTCACCTTTCAGTAAGTAATGTTAACCTATTGATTTGTCATTAGTGGTTCATTTTCCACAGCTTGATGTTAATGCAAATGCCGCTCTGCAGCCATCAAAGATCACCACCTCTGGTGAGACTCTTATCTCATCAATGAGGTAGTAGCCTGAAGGAGTGTTTTTTTTTTTTTTTGCAGAGTGATGATAGTGCAGCCATGTTAGCCACAGTGTGAAGGTTTAGCTGCTTGCTTGGCCCCTGTTATAACAACTCTAGGAGTCTTGAGGAATGTGGGTTTGTCCTGCAGTCCGTTACTACCCCCTCTCTCCTTCTCTGTCTCTGCCTCACTCTTGTGTCCCCTCCCCTCTCCCTAAACAGGGCATTTCCCAACTTTTCTCTTTTTCTCACAAGGCTATAGTTCAATATTCCATTCTGGGGCACATATCCTGTCTCAAATTCCGACTCTGGGCTCCTCGACGCCAAGGCACTCCAACTGTTGCAAGGTATTGTGCGCGTTAAGTGATCTGTTGACTGCGCTTCAATGAAGTTATCAATGGCTTTGATTGTGACTATTGTTTCAGAAGCCCGTTGTTTCACGGGGGATTATCTCTTTATGCATGTCTGTGAAAATAGATGGGGGTCAAATGACAAGACTGGGATGCAGAAAGGTGGATTTAAAAGTTTACATTCGCTCCTGCGCGGGTGAAGTTGCACTTTTTTACCGGCTTTTTGAGAAACTGCATGGTGAAAAAAAAAAAAAAAACTCCGACAGGCTAGTCACGTTTTACAGTGTGATTGCTTTCCTTGTTGCAGTTTTAATACTTTTGGGATAAGCTTTCCAGGCAAGTAAAGTTGAATAAAAAAAAAACAACAACTCTAAAATATTTTCCCATCTGGGTTTCAGCGAGTAGGCGCTGATGTTGCGTTTTTCTCCATTCATAAAGTTGCGGTGACCTGCAGAGCTCGTTTCACTGCTGCAATATTGTGGAAAAAAACATATTTGTCTTTCTGTCAGCTTGCATCTGCGTCAGTGGTAGTTTTATACTTTCAAAGTGTGACAGATGGAGCCTGTAGGCCTGTATATTTTACTGACTTCAAGTGTTTCTCACTTGTGGCTCTTAAATAACTGTATGGTTTTGCATTTCTTACTATTCCTCCATGAATGTGAAGTTATGCTGTGATGTTCAAGCTCTCAAATTACTGTTAGGCTACCATGCTTTGCCATATGAAATAATGCGCTCTCAAATGTTCTCTAATGATTAATCGATTAATTGCCAGTGCATGATGAATGCTTTACCTGCGTTATTTTGACAGCAGGGTTGGAGAAGTCCTCAGCAGAGCTCATACTCTGTAATTGATCAGGCATTTCTTTTGTTCAGCATTGATCCCGCCTCCATTCACTTCTCTAACTGCAAGCAACTAAAGCCAACTTTTTTTGTCGTGTTTGACTGGAAAATCTTGCTTTTTTTTTAATAACTCAGGCTATAATACGCCTATCAATGGAGTGTCTTACTAAAATTTTTCACCACATACTTTTATTTGTCTTTGCCTTAAAAAGAAATAGAAAAATGTGAAATATGGGATAATTACATGCAATTATGTGAACATAAGTACCTCTTAATTTCCATGTCTTCCTGTCTGGTCCCTGTCTTGCCATCACTTTTCTTTTTCTCCGCATGCTTGACTGAGTTCACTGCTCATCCATCTCTCATCTTCCATTAAAATTAATCGTAGTCAGTGGGATGCCGGGGCCATATTTGTTTTCTTTTCTTTGTCAAGCCCAGATATATAATGTGGTTGGACCCACGGCTGGGTCTGCTGAGGTTATATATCACCAGGGGGCCCATGGTTCACTCTTAAACCTGTGGTCTATAATGAGGTGGGGAAGAGAAAATAAACCTCATGGTTGTCCAAGTCAGTTGGACTCTGGGTGTTTTTCAGCTTAATAAACGCTAATGCAGTCGGGACAGGCTTGTAAGACTATATAAGCTATGCGTGGGGTGATCGAATCCAAAATAATTTGATTTAGAAAGCCAGACTGAATAAATCACATAATGAACAATAATGGGAGTAATTTAATTTTGCTCCTTCATATGGATGAGTAATTGGTCTTTGTTAGCAATTAAATATCTGAACTCTTCTCTGCAATCATGATGGAGGAGAACATTTTGAGTTGATTGATCATCTTTACCTCACGACCAAACTCACTCTCTGGCTCCCTCTAGGCACAAGGCTTTGATTTAGGGTAGTGATACCCAACCGCTTTGGCTTCTATAAATTGAAGGAATGTGTCTTTATGACCCCATACCACAGACTGAATATATGACATGGAGTGATGTCCATCTCTAAGGCTTTTTCTGCGTAAAAAGTTCCCCAAAAGGCAAAACAATCTCTCTTTAGACATGTTTGAAATTTATGACAGCTTTTTATATGATTAGAATCCTTATCAACATCCCTTATAACGACAGTAAATATTTAATTTTCAACAGCACTAGATCTTTGACTCTGAGCATGTCTTTCTAATCAGTTTATGACTTCTCTCTCAGTAGTGTGCCATCACTACATACAGTATTTGGTGTCTGTGGAGTGATAAACCACTTACGAGCCCGCTTTGAAGAGCACTATAGTGAAAACAGATTGCTGGAAGTCAGGATTTAAGCATCTCTCCTCTATTTCCTTGCATGCTCTTCTTTATTCACCCCCAACTCATATGTTTTCTCTTTTCTCAATATAACCACCAAGCATGTCACAAACAGAAAAATCAAATCAGTGGATAATTGCATTGCAAACCATTTCACAAGAGAATTGAACAATGTCTTGTTTACAGATTTTTTAAAGGTTAGGAAATGTATGATAATGATTTTAGCTGCATTGATTTGGTTTGTGAGATGGAGCTACTCTTACCTGGGGGTACTTCTGCAGTTGCCAGGAAGTATGTAGAAAGCTCAACTCACTAACGTTAACTACTTTCATTATAACCTGTCCATCAAACTGAGTCAGTTGTTACATATTAAAACCATGTGTTGCTTATTTAGAGAGCATGAAAACAAGTTGACCAGGGAATGTAAATAGTTAGCTGAAACTAAAGAATAAATGGTTAGAATGGATGGTTAGCTAAAAGTAATAGATAAATGGTTGAAGTATTGAGCTAGCCTTGGCTAAAAGAAATTAATAAATAGTTGAAGTAGTTAGCTAGCCTCGGCTGAACGTAATGGATAAATGGTTGAAGTAGTTCGCTAGTCTTGGCTAAAACAAATGAATAAATGGTAAAAGTAGTTAACTAGCCTCAGCGAAAAGTAATACATAAATGTTTGCAGTAGTTAGCTTACCTCAGCTAAAAGTACTGGGTAAATGGTTAAGGTAGTATTTAACCTCTTCTAAAAATAATAAATAAGTGGTTAAAGTAGTTAGCTAGCATCTGCTAAAAGTAATGGATTAAGGTTGAAGTAGTTAGCTAGCCTTGACTTAAAGTAATGGATAAATGGTTGAAGTAGTTAGCTAGCCTTAGCTAAAAGTAATAGATAAATGGTTGAAGTAGTTAGCTAGCCTCGGCTTAAAGTAATGGATAAAAGGTTTAAGTAGTTAACTAGCCTCGACTAAAAGTAACACATAAAGGTTGAAGCAGTGGGAACTGCCCATTAGTTCGACATCCCATTGTTCCGACCATATTAAACTCATTGTTCCAAAGTCCGTTCCGAAATCATCATGATGCCCTGTGGTTAAGGTCTGGTTACGTTTAGGCACAAAAACCACTTGGTTAGGGTCAGGAAAAGATCATGGTGTGGGTTAAAATGAAAAAGAAAGTGACAAACACATAAGCCGTGAGCCTGCTTCGCCTCAAGCCGGTCGCGGCGCACCATACGCCCGCCGCGAGCCGTTCAGCACCGCGGACAGTCGGACTAATGGGATGTCGAACCAATGGGCTGTCGAACCAATGACATGGACCCGAAGCAGTTACCTGGCCTTGGCTAAAAGTAATAGATAAATAGTTAAAGTAGTTAGCTAGTTTCTGCTAAAAGTAATAACGTTAGGTGAGTGGCTAAAGTAGTTAGCTAGCCAAGGCTAGCAGTAATGGATAAATGGTTGAAGTAGTTAGCTAGCTTCGGCTAAAAGTTGTGGATAAATGGTTGAAGTAGTTAGCTAGCTTCGGCTGAAAGTTGTGGATAAATGGTTGAAATAGTTAGCTAGCTTCAGCTAAAAGTAGCAAATAAAGGTTGAAGCAGTTAGCTGGCCTCAGCTAAAAGTTATGCAAAAATAGTTAAAGTAGTTAGCTAGCCTCTGCTGAAAGTAATGGATAGGTGGTTAAAGTAGTTAGCTAGCCTCTGCTAAAAGTAATGGATAGGTGGTTAAAGTAGTTAGCCAGCCTCTGCTAAAAGTAATGGATAGGTGGTTAAAGTAGTTAGCTAGCCTCTGCTGAAAGTAATGGATAGGTGGTTAAAGTAGTTAGCTAGCCTCTGCTAAAAGTAATGGATAGGTGGTTAAAGTAGTTAGCTAGCCTCTGCTAAAAGTAATGGATAGGTGGTTAAAGTAGTTAGCTAGCCTCTGCTAAAAGTAATGGATAGGTGGTTAAAGTAGTTAGCTAGCCTCTGCTAAAAGTAATGGATAGGTGGTTAAAGTAGTTAGCTAGCCTCTGCTAAAAGTAATGGATAGGTGGTTAAAGTAGTTAGCTAGCCTCTGCTAAAAGTAATGGATAGGTGGTTAAAGTAGTTAGCTAGCCTCTGCTAAAAGTAATGGATAGGTGGTTAAAGTAGTTAGCTAGCCTCTGCTAAAAGTAATGGATAGGTGGTTAAAGTAGTTAGCTAGCCTCTGCTAAAAGTAATGGATAGGTGGTTAAAGTAGTTAGCTAGCCTCTGCTAAAAGTAATGGATAGGTGGTTAAAGTAGTTAGCTAGCCTCTGCTAAAAGTAATGGATAGGTGGTTAAAGTAGTTAGCTAGCCTCTGCTAAAAGTAATGGATAGGTGGTTAAAGTAGTTAGCTAGCCTCTGCTAAAAGTAATGGATAGGTGGTTAAAGTAGTTAGCTAGCCTCTGCTAAAAGTAATGGATAGGTGGTTAAAGTAGTTAGCTAGCCTCTGCTAAAAGTAATGGATAGGTAGTTAAAGTAGTTAGCCAGCCTTGGCTAACAGTAATAAATAAATGGTTGAAATAGTTAACTAGCCTCAGCTAAAAGTAATTGATTAATGGTTGAATCTTCCAGCATCTGCACTTTGAGTAGTAGGCTGTTCTACAAACTTCACCAAAAACAACCTAAACACAGATGATTGAACTGTATGAAAAAATATTTAACAAGATCCACTTTTCTATAATTAAAGGAGCTGTTTGCGATATTCAGAGCATTAACATAGCAGCAAACAACTATTTTGCCATGTAAAGGTATACTGGAGTAATGGCGTCCTGAGCCCAGAATGACGCCACGTTCCCTGTGTGTGTTGTGATCTGAGCTTCTCTGTTTTTTGTTGTAGGTAGTCTTACCTTGCTGATGTTAGTGTGTATGAGTCACTGTGTGTATTCTACTGGCGAGCTAATCGCTGCCGCGCTGCACTGCGCTTATATGGCAGATAGCGCTGATAACTGCATCCTGACCCATGGTGTCAGAATGCCGTTGTTGCAAAGCGAAACAGTCACCCTTCAACCCCTGCCCCCTGATAACACTGTTGGCTCTGTCAGTACTGTTGCCATTGTTAGCACTGTTTGCTGTTAGCACTGTTCGCTGTTAGCCTAGCTGCTGGCTTAGCCACCTCCATGTTAAGAGCCTTGTGCAGGCAGTCATGGCTCAGACCATGTGCTCTAAATTGAGCATACAGCTCCTTTGACAGTGTTAAATAACGCTGATGAAGCTCACGATGAGCACATCTGACGGCTGTCTATGGTTATGGCCGACAAACACAATCTCTGTAGGATCGCTGTGTCAGATGAGTTCAGAGTAATTTTAATAAGTCAGTGTGTTTCAAATTGTTTCTTAATTTTCATCTCCTTTTTTCCTTTGTCTAGCCCCGACTCTGGAGTGCACACCAGGACTTGGTTTGGATCCAGGTCCCTCTGCTCAGCCTGGGTCCATACGGTGAACAGAGAGTCAGAAAGAGTGAGAGGTAACACCAGGGTACTACGATTGGAGGGATAGCCAGGCCGACCAATGGGATCAGGGAAGTTGGCCCAGGTGCTGCTGGGATGGGTGGCGATGTGTGTTGCGATGGTCCATGTGGCTTTTGGTGAAACAGGGAATGGACCATTCCAAGCCAGCCGCTTCACCGGCACTGTGGACCAGAGAGAGGTGCAGCGGGTTCGACGCCGTGGCCAGGAGACACTGAGAGGGTAAGGATGAGAGTCTGAGTGTGTCACTGACTTTTGCAAATCCCAAATGAGCAGCACAATAGTTTGCTTTTGATTTTATTTATGAATAAATTTATATTAAAAGCATTAATAAGAAGAGTGCTGAAAAGAAGAAAAGTGCATTAAGTTTGGTTTTGTATGCACAATTCAGAGCAGTTGTAGCTGTATCTGGAGAAGGTTTAAAATATAAATGGCTTTCCCCTCTTTGCTTTCCTGGCAGCTCTCTTTCAACTGCTGTGCTTTCTGGGCTTAGGCCAAGCTCGCCTTATACCAAATTATGCTGCTGAATACTACCACATTGTTTTCTCAAAAACAGCACATGTTCGACCCTAACAGGCTGCCTGCCACACTGAAATCTCCTAGTGTATTTACAGCAAATTGACATTTTCATGGGAAAGGGAGAAAAAAGCAGCTTTCTATACATCTCATGAGGGGATGATGAGTGAAAAGCTTGACCCAAATTCCACTGAGTGTATTAGTTAAGCTGGAGAAAGTAGTTCAGGACTGCTGTGAGGAGATTGCTGGCCCCGGTGTGTTAAGTCGAGGCAGCAAAGTGGTGCGTGTGGGTACATATGAACATACATGTGCATGTTTTTAAAGGTGTTGTTCATTTGAGTGAATGTATGTGGGGAGTATCCAGTGAAATGAACTACAGGGATCACCTCTGACCAGCTGCAACCCCCCTCGTCCTCCTCCTCCTCCCTCGGTGCATTTTCTCTCCTTTCACTTTGTTACCTTAACACCATGAATCAGGGTGTGGGATGTTTGTCAGTGCAGAGAAAGAGTTTTCACTGTATGTTTCGCCACTTCTTGAAAAACAAAGGATGTTTTGTTGGGGCCCGTTTTCAGTGTCTGCATCAGTTATTCCAATCAGACTCCCATCTGTCCCAGCTTATGGTTCCCCCAGTGCCAAGCCACAGGAAATGAGGTATTCGTATCACCCGAGGGGGGTATGAAAAGGGGCATTTGTTTCACCGCTGTAGGTGACAAAGCAGCAGAGAGAATAACAGAGGGCAGGAAAAGTATGGAAGAAAGAGAGCACTCGAGGAAATGAGAGATGAGATGAAGAATAAATTGGGAGAGATAGAGAGAAAGAACTAAACTTGGTGAATTGTACTCAGTTGAGGTGTATGACTAGTGCAGGGTAAAGCTAGAGTCCTAGAGCTGGTGTTTTCTCTAAAAACATATCCAGTGACGACCCCCACTGCGTAATAGAAACAGATTTGTCTGGCTTGTCACTCATTTTTCATTAACATGGAAGGCATTTGTCCATGTTAAATAAAGAAAATCACCCCTCTGTATTTAGTCATATTTAAAAGGAGACGTTACGTACCAAACTTTGAACGAGCTCCTTTAAAGGAGCAGTGTGTAAGGTTTAGGGGGATTTAGTGGCACCTAGCAGTGAGGATTGCAGGCAACAACCAGCTGAAACTTCTCCCAGTTAGGAGTTCAGGAGTTTTTTACAGGGAGTCAAATTATCTGTAGAGGTCTCCTCCTATCCAAAACAAATGGACAAGGTGATTTAAACCGATTAAAACACTGAGGAAAGCTGTGTTACGTTACAAATGAGTATTTCTTTGATGCGGTTTAGCTTGTCTTAAACGGACCGCTAATGTGTGCTCACCTTTTCACTCTGATAATTTAAGATCTAGACATTCACGAGCCAAATTTTCGAGGAAGCCCCTCCTCTTCCTCCGGAGGGGCTGCTAACCACAGTGGCCAACATGCAAACATGATGGCCCTATCTAGAGCCAGTGTTTGGTTTATCTTTTTTGGGCTACTGTAGAAACATGTGGATGAAGACAGCAGACTCCGTGGATGGACCCACTCCCTATGTAGATATAAATGCCTCATTCTGAGGTTAGAAAAACACACAGTGATTCTTATTTTCAGGCGATTATACGCTTAAGAAAACTTACTCATTATATTATGTTCCACTTCTGCCACTAAATCCCCCTAAATCCTACACACTGGACCTTTAACATTTCATTGTACTTTTTACAGCCGCCATGACAGAATTATCCTGTCTGACCCATCAGCTGTTCATTGAACCACACAGGAGGTCATTGGCATTAAACCCGAGACATGAAATATATGATCTGACTGAACAATAATTCACATTGGCAGTTTGTCCAAAAGACAGCAAGCCGGCGGAGGAGAGAGCACAGGAGAGCTTGCACAATAGCATATTATTCCCATCAAGTTGTGTGTGATTTCATGAGAACATGTAACAAAAGCCTGCAGACTTTTTCCATTACATTGTTAAGTTCTGGAAACACTGCTGTGCTAGGAATGAAATGCTCATGTAGCGATAGTTTTGTGTACCGAGGTAAATAGGTGATGAGATTACACAGCATCTCTGAAACTCAGGGTATGTTAAGGCTAAAAAGATCCATTTGCGCGCTGGGCTCCGGGCCAGCACGAGTACCACAAACCAGAGCTATCTGACAAAACGTTTGAGATCTTTTTGATTATTTTCATTGGATTTCTAGGTGTTGCCTGGTAACTGTCACTTGAGTTATTCCGAAATGTAAAGCACCTCCCATGTGCTGTGGCGGGCCGGCCAAAGCAAATAAGTCTAATGTGTTGAATTTATTTTCAGTTTCTGTTTGAGTGTCGTTGGCTGAAAAAGATCACAGTTAATCTGGAATTGGGTAATATTAGTCATTCGCATGTGTGCATGTTTCATCTAACTTCTGGACAGAAGCTGTGGGGTGAAGAAATAACATGATGAGTGTTTTGGCTCTGTGATTTTACTACAACTCATTCACCCCAACAAACTTGTGTCTTACTACAATGTTTTCATCAAAGAGTTGCAGCAATCACAGTGACTGTCAGTAACTCTGTATGGGTTTCACAGATTCCCCCGCGTGGGAGATGGAGGGAGGTTAGGTTAATGATGGTCATTACGCTGGCCTTGGGCTGGGGTGCAGTGTTTATTTGCTGGCTAGAGCTCCATATCCCCTGGTCTGTCTCTGGTAGCGCCGGGTCTGATGCTGACTGACTCTGATTTATTGGCTCCCACCGCACACTGCAGCCTGGCATCAGTCCACTCAAGGGCGGTGGTATCTGATCAGACCATAGGCTGGCTGGCTGGCTGGCTGGCTGGCAGGTCTGTGTTACTCAATTGGTGATTGACCGTCATGTTGGTAGAATGAGAGAAGGAAAGTGTGAGGCAGAGACGGGGAATTTTTGCTTTTGATTTCTCTGTCTTGCTTTCAAATGCCTAACTAAAACAGTTGAGTATTTATAGTTTAATAAGATCTCTTGTATGCTGGAGTTTCAGTATCCAGCCAAGTTTTTTGTTGCAGCCACCCACCTTATTAACTTAGCCCAGCTTGGCCCAGCTTTACCCAGCTCTGCTGAAGAGAGACGCCTTGGATGCTGGCTAACTTGGCAGACAATCAGCCCCAAAGCAGAGAATTACTTTCAGCCACTCAAGCCCCTTCCAGGATAATGTCAATACCACCCTGATGGCCTGGACGGGGTCCTCTATTTACAGTCTGCCTTGGCATATGCCTATTTGACAGGGAATGGATGTCATAGGACAAAACCTCTTTACCTCAGACAGTATCTGAGTGTTTTCAGGACAGAGGAAGGAAAAAAAAGAGCCACAAAATAACTCAAGAAGACATTATATTTTGGACGAGTGAACAATTGCCAGTTTCCCTTTCTGTTTTATGTGTATTAGGTTCCATTTTAGGTTTTTATGTGTCTGCGTTTTATGCTTACTGCACTGTATGTGCAAGCTAAGACTGCACTGTAAAGACAGGATTATCTGGGACAGCTGATTGGCATGTGGTCTGTCAATAAAGTGCTTTCTACTTAATGTCAGATTGTACGAGCAAATTTAACCATCAGTTTACTTCCCACATTTGATGTCTCTGCCCACATTGACATCCACACAATAATAAAAACATTTTGCATTTGTGATTTACAATTACTTCTACTAAACATTGTGTCATTAAAACACACAGAACAATAAACAGATATCCTCTCTGGGGTTTGTGTGGTTCACCACAGTTTTTGTTGTTGTGCTTTATGACTGTATCTCTTGTTGTCTGTCAGCCAGAGGGGTCATCAGTACACACACCAGCTCAGTGATTTACTGTAAGTTTTGTAAAGGTCCGTCTCTGTTACACTACCAACAATCTCCCACTCATTCCTGTTTATCTGTTTTTCAGTTAAAATAAATTTCAGTTATTTAATTGCACAAACTTAGCAAGACAATACTGCCAAGATTATTAATCCATCGATCTGTTTTTCTTCACTGTTTTCACCTTTCAGAGTTAAAACATACGTGCGTGGAGTTTTGATGTACTTTGATGTACCTTTCATATTGAAATATATTTAACTCACTATCTCATCTAATAGGTACAGTTACTAGTTGCTCTGCAGACTGTGATTTCACGCTGATTACTTTTACTTCTTTTTACATTTTACAGTTGTTTTGAGTAACTCTTAGGCCACCGACTGATTAATATCTGTTTGCCTCACAACCATCTGTAGGTAATTTTCTATACACTACATTCCTTAACATCACACCTCCTAGATCTGATAGAGGAGCAACTGGCCCAGGTGTTGCTTGAGGCAGCAATACATAAGAGATTCCCTGAGGAGGGTCAGATACCAGGCAGTTGACCTTTGTCCTTTGACCAGTACACACACACACACACACACACACACACTCACACACGGACACGTACACCTGACCTGGGGCCTGAGCAACTGTGAACTTCTTGTCTGGAAGCAGACCCGTCTGTGGTCATTCTCCATGCCTGTCTGATGCTGACCTTCCTTGTAGGTCAGTGGAGGGTGGCTGTTCTGAACTGCCATAACCTCTGACCCTGTGGATTCCTGCATGGCAAGAGGACCCACAGGCTACAGCTGCATAACTTGTTGATCTGGCTGTTTCTAATTTTGTAACTCTTTTTAAAAAGACCCCCCCAAAACCCCTAAAGAAACCACAAAGAATTTACAACAGCAGAACGTGTTGTACAAAACATTTTGTCCATCCAAAATTTCCCAGGGTCCAATCTGACTTATTCATATTGCTTGTTTTATCACACTTTAACAGCCCAAAACCCAATGACATTCAGTTTACTATCAAATATGACAAAGAAAAGCAGCAAATCCTCACATCTGAAAAGCTGAAATCAAAGAATATTGAATGTATTTACTTTGAAAATGACTAAAATGATTATCAAATGAGTTTCTTTTAGATTAATTTTCCATAGATGGATTAATCGACTTATCGCTTCTAATCTGAAGACTAGTCTAATTAATTGAGCTTCTTGAAGTTACAGAAAATGCACATTGCGAAATGGTATGTAGTTATTTGGCCTACTTCATGTCCAAAAATCTGCCTCCCCCTTTGACTTTGAAGTCAGTATCCTTTTCGCTTTCATTCTTGAATGATCGCTTTGGATGAGGTGGCAGCCATGTTCCTTTTATTACTATTAATGGCAGTTAACGAGCAATCCACGGGCCGGGAGGCAACTTCAAAGGCGGCGACATGGCCACAGAAGAGTTAATCTCCTTTAGATTGAGCCCTGAGAACAGTAGGACATTTCAATATTGAGGAAAACCCCTGGGGCTTAAAGTCCCTCTTTTATGGCTGTCTTTCATTCTGTTTTACTTCAGTTCATCCTCTAAAGCCTCGTCCCTGCGATAGGAGAGCAGGCACTGACCTGGAGGAAAGACCACGACAGAGAGAGGAAGAATAACAAACCAAAGCACTTCAGGGTCAATCCCTCATAATCCTTCATATATTGACATCCCCTAGGTCTGTAACAGTGGAAAATCTTCAACGCTTTGTGGGGAAAAAGATCACGGACGACGCTGGGTTAACTGCTCATTAAGTGTTGGAATGCTGATGTCTCGCTCCACGCATTTCTGGCGTTTTTTGGGGAGCTCAGTTTGGTTTGTGTATTTGCCCTAGAAATTCAACCTCGGCCAAGGGTCGGGCCTCTTCTTGCTTATGCTGCTCTCTCCTTCGTTTCCATATCTCTGTTTTCCGCTCCCTGCTCCTCCTCCTGCTTCCTCCTCATCTCAACATAAACTTGTTTTGCTTTCCCTCCCACTGATCCCCTGTTCCTTTCCCACCGCCCCGTCTTCTCCTCTCCTAACCACCATTCCTCTGACTCTCTTCACACTTTCTTTCTAAAACCAAACAATCCATTTCTCCTGCCTTTTCTCCCCTTCCTGTTTCGTTACAGTCTTCCTGACCACTAATTCTACCTAAATATCTCTCGTCTGCCTGCTCACCTGTTTGTCAGTCCCCCTGTCTCTCTGTGCCATCTGGTAATGTGGTTGGAGGTGTGCTCTGCTCTCCATCCATCAGAGATTCAAATCCCAGCTGTCATCTCCCTGGTGACAGCCCCGGGGTTACTACGGATACCGTCTGGTGAAGAGGAGAGGAAGGTCATCTGTTTCACGCAGGAGGAACTTGAGAAGTTCATCAAAGCTAATACTTAATTTCACACTGTGAATGCTGTACATTCCTGATGCAGTCTGTTGACTATTTATACATAAAAGCTAGTTTACTTGTCACGAGGTGTACCACTCAAGTTGTGGAAACAGTTTTAAATATCTTCTGTGGCTCTTTAGGATGAAACACTGATGATGTCGTTAGGGTTATCTTGGGTTAAGCTTGAGACAATCTCAGAACCCTTTGGCTTTGGTCTCATGGTGATTTAGCCTCTGCGGGCAGTGGCCGATATTTCAGGAGTTCAGGTGTAAGTAGTGGATACGCAGCCCAAGATGTCCTCTTCTGTGCACCAGTCATTGATTACAGTCCGAGACAGACTTTATAAACAGAGTTATGACTCTCTGTAAACAGATTTGTACGTTATGTTTCGACCAATGCCTTCCACACAAACTGTTTACCAGCAGGCAACCAAATGTTGCGCTCTTAGGACGACAAGACTCTTCTGTTTGGCAACTGTTTGACAACTCTCCCCGACACTCAGTATATTTTTTTGGAATAGTTTGCTCGGAGCAGCTGTGTCTTACATGGCAACACAACAAAACATGTCCCCCAAAACAAGAACAAGAACAAGAACAAGAAGAAGGCATGAAATTAAAATGTGTTCCGCCGGAGATTCCTGCGCATGACATTTTCATTACGTTAATGTTTCTAGGTTGCAACACAAAGCCTACTCAGATGTACTTGGTCAGTACCACTCAGACTATAAACGGAAACCAAAACACTTCTGATACCAAAATCGTGTCCTGTTGCTTATAGATTCTGAATTCATATGCAGATATCTGTTCGTAGAGATTAGCCTTGAATCAAATGTTTGACAGACAACCTGCCTTATAAAATAGAGACATGGAGTTTGAACGATGAGAGTATTAAACAGGCACGGAAGGTCCAATGGTAGAGGCTTTTGAGTTACATTTTGGAAAATGTCATACTCGGGAATAAATGCCCTGATACACCAAGTTGGTGGTCGGCCATTGGTCATTGTCTATGAGCATCTGTCTGCCTAGTTTGTGCTGGTTGTCCCATTGGCACTAATTGGCACTTTTTGGCTTTGGTGTGTTTGGGCCTTAGAAGTCAGAATATCCCTTAAAGATTACATCTTTTTTAAACACTACATCCCTGGTGTGCCCTCTTAAAGGCTTGATAAGTTGTTGTCTTGCGTTACCAGACTTTGGTCATCTTAGAAAAACACTGGGCAATCTAGCGTTACTTTAAACAGTCATAAATTATGTCCTGGGGGCAGAAATGGCCTACACTAAAGAGATGTGATCCCTGTGGCAAATGACTTTACCATGAGCATCTGGAGCAGACTATATCCCAATTTACCGAGCTGTGGTCCCTCAATCCTTAGTCATGCCATCGGCAAATGCAAACAACCAACCACCAACACAGATGACCACAGATATACCCATCATTATATGCTTTGAAAGGTCACTAAGGATATCATTAGTACAACCACACAGTTGGAATCCCTTCAGCTTGTTAAACAGCTTCTTGCAGCGTCTTGGGGTATTTCATTTGAGTGCACACACTGACTCACGCACATTTCCTCATAGTAAATGGATTTTGGTTTCAGGATTGATGCATGTTGGGACTTTTACTCCGTTTCTAAATAAACTGAGTTAAAAGTATGTGTGTAATTATTCACGGAAGATAAAAACTGAAGTGTTATTCGCATTAGCTCGTGAGGCATCTGCAGACCTCAGTCCTGCTGCGTGTTTATGTGTATTTGTGCGTGTGTGAGCAGAGGCCAGTCATCTCTAGATGTGGTTTAGCCATCTCCTCAGAGGAAATCTTTGCGGCTAACCTGTCAGGCCAATCAAGTGCTCCATAAGCTGTGATGACTCTTACATCTGTCAGACAGGGTCAAAGATCACTGCAGGCTCTCTACCAGTAAGAATCCCAGCTGAGCGAGAGGGGCAGGCGGTGACGGGGAGCAGCTCTGGATATTTGCCAGAGAACAGGACAGCCCGGCATGGAATTTGGGAGAAAGGAGGACTTTATACATCCGGTCCTTCCAAGTATAAATTCAGCCTTGAATGAAAACAAAATGTGTCTCCTCATGTTGTAGGCCCCTTGCATTTCCTTCTCCTCCTCCCCTCTCTGAAAAAATACCTCCATCCATCACTGGAGGAGGCTTTATATCAAAGTTTGTTTTGTTTACTTTAAAAGCTTAGGCCATGCAGGTCCTGGGCAGCTCAGAAAATAACTCTTTACTGTGTGTATTTGTTTAGGGCTTATACTAAAATGTTTTGGGAGGTCTGGGTGAGTAGTGAGTTTGTTTGTTCTTTATTTTCTGTCTCTATCAGGCCCAATGTGTGTGGCTCTCGCTTCCATTCATACTGCTGTCCGGGCTGGAAGACTCTGCCGGGAGGGAACCAGTGTATTGTTCGTAAGTTTCTCCATCCTTAAATCCTCTTTAATACAATTTGACAAAGCCTAGTGGAGAAGATAAGAAATAGGCGTGGGATAATTCAGTTTGTGTCTCATTGTGTATGGCTGAAGAAATGAAGAATAAATTAAATCAATCTCATCTCCTCTTTGTCTCTCCAGCAATTTGCAGGAATTCATGTGGCGATGGCTTCTGCTCCAGACCCAACATGTGTACCTGTTCAAACGGCCAGCTCTCTCCCAGCTGCGGAGCAGGAGGAGGAGGTCAGTAAGAGCGCCACTCATCACACGTAACTAAGGCTTCATCAAACATCAGTCCCATCATATGGCTTCATCAAACATCAGTCCCATCATATCAAATAGAATTAAATTATTATTAAGCAGTTTGGGGTTCAATATTCAGGGATCAAACCACCAACCCTACAAGAGCTGAAACAATTAGTTGATCATTCGACTAGTCAATCGACAACAGCTATTTAGATCATGGATTTGTCGTTTAAGTAAACAAGAAAACAGTCCCCAGTTCTAGCTTCTCAAATTATATGTGCTGCTTTTCTGTGTCTCGCTTGATTGAATTGAAGTTTTTAAGGGGTAGTTGGACAAAACAAGACACTTGACGATAATAAGGATGCTTGGGAAATACACTTATTTGCTCTCTGGTCGAGCATTTGATTAGAAGGTCAGTACCACTCATTAGTTTAGCATAAAGACTGAAAACGGGGGAAACAGCTAGCCTGGCTTGGTCCAGACATAACAAAGGTACCTACCAGCAACTCAAAATTGCTGGTTAGCTGTAATGGAATCCTGGAGTCTCCATTTGTTGACTGACAACTGCCCCCAGCCAACAAATAGGCTGAATGTCATGCTAACAACAACCATCACTTCCAGTTAACAACTGGCAATTGATTTAAATTGCGGAGATATGTGAAATCTTCAAACTCGTTTATTTGTGTTGTCATTTTCAGCCGTATCCATAGCATCTAATGATATACACTGATGGTCCAGCCTTTCTGAGGTTTCTGCTGTGCTCATTTAATGTACTGTGTTGATTTGCTTGTCTATAGTGTGAACATATCACAATACATTTAAACCACAGACACTGATTATAAAGTCATAGTTTCTGTTCTCTAGTTTCAACAGTGTTGGCTCGCCCGCCACAATGCCCCACAGTAACGTCACGTTGCCTAACGTAACCCAACTAACGCAACGCCAACAACCTCAATGAAGTTGTTTCTTTGATTACAAAGAATGAAATGAGACGTGAAGCTCACTTGTCACAAGATGCTTGCCACAAATTTAGTCATGAGGTCCAGACTGCCAGATTTTCCCAACTCTGCACACTATAAGTCTTTTCGACTGGCACAAGCTGTCCCAGATTTCCTCCCTTTTCAGACGCTGAGTCCAGAGCTGTCTTTGTTTGGTATTTGCAAATGGAAATCTAAAAAAGTAGTAGTATAATTGAACATTGTGTATAGTCCAGCACATAACCCCAGTGAAATGACGAATTATACTTTCAACACTTTGTTTTTTTTGTATGGATCAGACAAACAAGATGTAATGTATTGAGCTTTAAATGTGCTGATAGGTGGATTTTGTTACTTTTGAACAAAGCCAGGCTAGCTGTTTTCCCCTGTTTTCAATCTTTGTGCTAAGCTAAGCTAACCAATATGACAGATATGAGGGTGGTATCTATTTTCTTATCTAACTCTCCACCAGAAAGCAAACAAGCATTCCCCCCCCCCCAAACCTGATACTTTAAAAGCCTCTCAAACACCTGAGCTACAGATACCCATCTGTCTTAAGTTCAGACGGATAATACAAAACACAGGACTCCTTTTTCCATCAATACCAGTCCAATTTTTGAATCCTGTAGACAACTCAAGCGTAGGATTGCGTAGCGGTTAGAGGCTTTCCTTCAACTATGTTCCCAGATTGATTGAAACGTCTTTTTAAAGAGCCTTTGGCCCATTGCTCACCTTATTCGATTACTTACTGTACACAAGGACCCTCAGAATAATCCAGTAGATCATTGTTGTAATGTAAGTATAGAAATACTATATTCCCATTATTCTTCTAAATGACCTCATGCCTGACTTCACTTTACTGTGCGATAAGTGGCCCCAACTACCGATGAAACGATACTGCCTGTTACTGAGCAGTTTCAGTTCCTACTCATCCAATTGCTCGGCTATTTTCCAGATGTAATCGTTCCACCCTTCTCCCATGGGGGCTACAATAGTACTGTAGCCAGTGTAATATTAGTGCATGGAGTCCCAGGCCTGTAGGTCACAGGGTTTGTCAGGATTAAAGTAGAGAGTCTGGCTGCCCCAGCTCAGTCTGCTGGGCTTAGTTACAGACCACTCAGGATGTGTGTGTGTGTGTGTGTGTTTGGAGCAGAGCGAGGTGTTTTACAGCACATGCAGAGTGTGTGAAATCACGTTTGTCTTAGTGAGATTAGTGCAATGTGTGCAGGGTTTAACTATGAAGTTAATATGTGCCTGACATGCAGAAAACATTGTCGTTAAGCACCACTTTGGGAGCATGCAAAGTATGTGTCGATGTGTGTATTAAGTAGCGTGCAATATGTTCAGCTTCACTGCTTTGGTCGGCCAAAGTCGGCTCGTCAGTCACGCCTGGCCCCTGCCAGACCCTTTACACATGCTCACATTCCATTAAGCCCACTAACACACACATTTTCACTCGCACAACTGCACACAAAGATATACAGACGCTCTTATACTAACAGACAGGCAAAAAAACGTACCGGCACACACAAGCTAACATAGTGAGCATCAGTTGGCTGTGACCCAGAGGTGTAAAACAGGATCTGTTCCAGCCATAAGTAAGGACGACCCTCAGAGGAAGGGCATGGAGGGTGGGGTGGAGGAAAAACAGCCTCTGACCTGTATGACAGGATACGCAGAGATCTCCTGCAGAGTCAGTGCTTTGGCAGGAGCTATGAAGTCATGTTCCTCAGGGTCAGGAATGGCGCTCAAAAGCGAAGTGATAAATTAGAGTGAGAGCTTAGCAGAGCTGGGCCGAACTGATCGTCACACTCTGTGATTCTCTGCTTTCCTCAGCAGGGATTTATGGGGGGTTTCTACAGATCTACAGGCAGTGAGGAGGCAGTGAAGGAAGCTACTGAGAATTATCAGAATAATCAGAGACAGCTTTATTTTCTATGATTAATATATTAGAAATATGTTTTAGTGCACGCTGAGGAGTGTATCATTGCAATCCTCTTCGTCTGGCTTCTCTGGCAGCTTCCATGAAGGTCAGAGGTCAAACAGCTTTATGGACTGAGATAAACATACACCAATTAGTGAGCACTGAAAGCTGAGGAATGGCTCCGAAATACAGTGGAGGTCACTTTATGTGATCAAAGTTAGCCATCTCCTCTATAAGTCAATTTCCTCACTGGCCTGCATGCACTCCCCAAACTCCACTGTGTCTAAATCTTTGTTATATTTGGGTTAGATGTGTCTTCGCTCCATTAATATTTAATATTACAGCTTTGTTTTGAAGTTGAAAACTGTTTTCATAACATAATCCGTCTCGGAGGCTTCTGGCCAAGAGAAGGCAAACACTCCTCATCATAGATCTTGTCTTCCCAAACATGCTGACTCCCAAATTCAGCTTTTGGAGAGAGTCCACCATTTAACAGGATAATTCAGTGCAGTTGGAAACAAATTGCAGTTCTATGGAGATCCATTTGGAAACGCCAATTTCCTCCGCCTTAATTATACAGCCTGATTCTAGCACCCTGGTTCGCCGGGTTATAGATAGCATCTTTATGTCTCACGTCTTGCCTGTGGAATGCAGAGGTCCAAATAAATGAGCAACACATTTGTGATTTTCTACATGTAACCCACGTGTCTGCGATTATTGTTGTGTCCACACAGATGGTTGTCTATGATTTCTTTTATGGCTCTTCCTGGAATTTTTGCTGTTTGCCAAAGAACAATACAAGGGCCTGTTTCTGTGGATAGCCTGGCAGACCTTTAAGAAATGTTACACTTTTCCACAAATAGAGAAGTAAAATCTTAGCGAAGCCAAGACGGCTTTGCAGAGGTGGGACCAAGTCATTGTTTTGCAAGTTACAAGTAAGTCTCAAGTGTTTGCACTTAAGCCCCAAGTCAAGTCCTAAATGTTAAGTATCATAATGTTCTCTTCACCAACTGTAATGCTACTTTAACAACAGAGTAATGATGTCTTACATTTTAAAAAATCATGACAGACTTTTTAAAATTTGTAGCCTACTTCGTTAAAACAAGTTCTCCAACGAGTGCTCAGTAACGTAACGTTAGTTCTTCGTGGTTCTCTCCGGCAGCTTGACTGGATGCTGTCAGATTGGTTTAAATAAAGTGGATCTGGAGAGTTAAGTGTTGACTGGTTGGGAATGAATAGCGTTGACGTTGATTCAGGAAATGAGTTGATTCACGGCACATTTTTTAAATGACAGGTATTTTTCAAGTCAAAAGCCTCAAGTCCAAGTGAAGTCATGAGTCATTGGTGTCAAATATCAAGTTGAGTTGACAGTCTTTTTTTGATTTTATGAAGTCGAGTCTAAAGTTATCAAATTTGCGACTAGAGTCTGACTCGAGTCCAAGTTATTTGACTCGAGTCCACTCCTCTGCGGCTTTGTAACTGCATGATAAGCAGGCGTTACGTGTCAGTTCCCAGACAACAAGGGTTCACGCTGTCAGTCACCCTTGTAATAAACACACTGACAGTTTAGTGCAGAGCAGCTGTGCTGAGGCTTGTATAGGGTTATCTTTATAACCTCGTCCTTCCCATAGCCATAATTACAAAATCATTACCACGGACGTTCTTGCCCTAATGCCGAGAAACAGCTGTCTTTAGACTGACAGGCTTCCATTCACAGACAGCAGTAGTGAATCCTGGGAATGCAGAGAGAGGCCTTTTTTAATTAGAAGCCATGCCTTTTTAACATAGTCAGTCTTGACCACAAAGTAATGCTCCGTCTTGTTAGGTATGAGGCTTGTGTGCAAATAAATGGATCTAAATTACCCAAAAAACTGATGATGTGTGTGAAGGACTCTTAGTTTCCCAGAACGGAAAGAAATCTTTGTGTTTGTCCCTCAACCTGCTTTGACAGCATCTCATGCAGCTTTCTGGTTCACTACATTGTCCGACCATGCCTGAAAGTGAGGCTGACTTGTCACTGGTCCCTGGGGTGTGTGTAAATCAGGACAAAACACAGCTATAAAGCTTCTCAGTTTTCCATCAGACACACACACATACCCACAAGCACACACTCGCACATGCCCAACACACAAGCCTGGACTTCCTGTGTTTCGCAGGCTCTCGTAAAAAACACCCAGATGTGAGCAGCTCACCGACAACACCACCAGAGTACAGAGGTGCATTGTGGTGCCGCAAAGCAAGTCCTTTTGCTCAACGTCTGGAAGACACACACACACACACACACACACACACACACACACACACACACATACATATATATACAGTACAGGCCAAAAGTTTGGACACACCTTCTCATTCAATGCGTTTTCTTTATTTTCATGACTATTTACATTGTAGATTCTCACTGAAGACATCAAAACTATGAATGAACACATGTGGAGTTATGTACTTAACAAAAAAAGGTGAAATAACTGAAAACATGTTTTATATTCTAGTTTCTTCAAAATAGCCACCCTTTGCTCTGATTACTGCTTTGCACACTCTTGGCATTCTCTCGATGAGCTTCAAGAGGTAGTCACCTGAAATGGTTTCCACTTCACAGGTGTGCCTTATCAGGGTTAATTAGTGGAATTTCTTGCTTTATCAATGGGGTTGGGACCATCAGTTGTGTTGTGCAGAAGTCAGGTTAATACACAGCCGACAGCCCTATTGGACAGCTGTTAAAATTCATATTATGGCAAGAACCAATCAGCTAACTAAAGAAAAACGAGTGGCCATCATTACTTTAAGAAATGAAGGTCAGTCAGTCCGGAAAATTGCAAAAACTTTAAATGTGTCCCCAAGTGGAGTCGCAAAAACCATCAAGCGCTACAACGAAACTGGCACACATGAGGACCGACCCAGGAAAGGAAGACCAAGAGTCACCTCTGCTTCTGAGGATAAGTTCATCCGAGTCACCAGCCTCAGAAATCGCAAGTTAACAGCAGCTTAGATCAGAGACCAGATGAATGCCACACAGAGTTCTAGCAGCAGACCCATCTCTAGAACAACTGTTAAGAGGAGACTGCGCCAATCAGGCCTTCATGGTCAAATAGCTGCTAGGAAACCACTGCTAAGGAGAGGCAACAAGCAGAAGAGATTTGTTTGGGCCAAGAAACACAAGGAATGGACATTAGACCAGTGGAAATCTGTGCTTTGGTCTGATGAGTCCAAATTTGAGATCTTTGGTTCCAACCGCCGTGTCTTTGTGAGACGCAGAAAAGGTGAACGGATGGATTCCACATGCCTGGTTCCCACTGTGAAGCATGGAGGAGGAGGTGTGATGGTGTGGGGGTGTTTTGCTGGTGACACTGTTGGGGATTTATTCAAAATTGAAGGCACACTGAACCAGCATGGCTACCACAGCATCCTGCAGCGACATGCCATCCCATCCGGTTTGCGTTTAGTTGGATGATCATTTATTTTTCAACAGGACAATGACCCCAAACACACCTCCAGGCTGTGTAAGGGCTATTTGACCAAGAAGGAGAGTGATGGAGTGCTGCGGCAGATGACCTGGCCTCCACAGTCACCAGACCTGAACCCAATAGAGATGGTTTGGGGTGAGCTGGACCGCAGAGTGAAGGCAAAGGGGCCAACAAGTGCTAAACACCTCTGGGAACTCCTTCAAGACTGTTGGAAAACCATTTCAGGTGACTATCTCTTGAAGCTCATCGAGAGAATGCCAAGAGTGTGCAAAGCAGTAATCAGAGCAAAGGGTGGCTATTTTGAAGAAACTAGAATATAAAACATGTTTTGTGTTATTTCACCTTTTTTTGTTAAGTACATAACTCCACATGTGTTCATTCATAGTTTTGATGCCTTCAGTGAGAATCTACAATGTAAATAGTCATGAAAATAAAGAAAACGCATTGAATGAGAAGGTGTGTCCAAACTTTTGGCCTGTACTGTATATATATGGACATCCCCCTACTGTGTTGCTCTACAAGTGCAGCTTTCCAGGCACAGGTCATTGGAGCAAACCATCTCTCTCCACCTGTGGGGGATGAAATGCCACGAGGAGGGGGAGCGAGAGGCGAAGTTAACCAGTGAGATCATCTCCTTCTGTCTCCAAATGTGCTTGTTTGCTTCCTTCTTCTCCTCCTTCCCTTCCTGTCTGCAGAAAAAACACATGACACCTGGTACACATGGTACCTCCAATAGCTCTCCAGCACCTGTCCCATCATCCTCTGTTCCCTAAGGGCAGAGAGTTCACTGGGTATAAGACTCAGTGAAGACTAGGTATAAGGAAAATCTTGCCCCGTATGTTCTTGACCCATTTAGAAACAGTGTTTGTGGGGGACAAGTTGCCTTTAGCTTTGGATTGCAACAAAGCTGGAATGGTTTTCTCCAGGGTTTCTGTCATGGCAGGGAAAACTGAAATCACTCACTGCGCGCATTATTCAGGTTTCACATTACCGCTCCTCTTGCTGGCCTCGAGAGAAGAAAGAGAGTCAATAGGGCTTACAGTGTTAACCTCATGTCTTGAGCCGCGGTTGAAACCTGAGAGCAGGACCAGACCCATCTCCCCAGAGAGTGAAGGGAGAGACAGCACACTAGTCCACTGACCGATAAACCAGGCTTGCCCCAGAGTCCCAAACTATTTGCTTTAATTTATCACCACATGTTACCATGAGACGCAATCCAGACAAAAAGTTGTAACTGCCAAATCTGTATGCAGAGCCTGCCAAGTGTTGCACATGAGAAAGTTAACTGGAATTCTTTCTAGACTTTAGATGCATTAAATATATCGAGCGAATGAAAGCTCTGTTGACAATTCCAGTGGAACTGCACCTCTGCCCTGCATTTACTGAAACTACACAGCGTCCAAGATTCGTGCTGTTGTGCTTTGACTCATGTAACTGAAGTCTGCGCTGTGTAATCTGCCAGTAAGGCAGGCGTGGGTGATCACAATGAAAAGCTACCTAAGACTGTGTTCACTCATCATGACTCACACAAGTCATATTTAGTGTGTTTGGGTACAGTCAGAATAAGTGGGTGGATTACAGTGGCTGAAAATGCCTCCTGTTGGCAAGTGTGCGCACTCAGAAAGTCTCATTAGACAAACTCAGCTCCGAGGAAGCTCAGTCATTTCCCCTCTGCTGCACAGCTCCGCATGCCAGAAATGTTAGAGAGGGAAAGAGACATAAACAGACAGATGGAGGGGGAGAGAGAGAAAGAGAGAGGAAATTAATGTTGAACTTGCGATTAAGATATAGACAGAGGAGCATGAAAGGCGCGGAGGGAATAGTGGAGGAAGGAAGAAAAGCGAAGGCACAGGGAGACTATAGGACAATAAAAAAATCCTCTTGAGCCAGGATGAAAGTGAAAAAGAAGACGCAAGGAAACATTAAGAGAATACTTTAGCATCCAGCATTGTAAATGTCTTCTCTAATCTTGTGTTCGATAAAAGGCTGGCTCAGCAGAAATCTTTCTGTCTGCCAGGAAGACCAATTAGTTTCCCTTCTGAGAGCTGCTGCTACGTGTTTGAGTCTGTCAGATTGGCCCTCTCACAGTCTTGTGTCGCAGTCTGCCAACTAAGAGGCTCGGCTCCTGCTTCACATCTTAATACCTGCACCACCACATCACTCCTGCTTTGTTTATTCAGAGTAATCTTTCTCTTACAGTCGCTCCTCTGTGCATCCTGTTTGGACTTTTTTTTGCCATTGTAACATACTTCTCCTCCCCCCTCACCCAGTTTCCCTCTCCTCTCAGCAAATTCCTGACTGACTGACTGACTGACTGACTGTAGCATACAGCTGGCTCGACTTATTGCCTACCCCCAGTCTGCTTGATTAGCTTTGGTTTTGTGGCCTGGGGGCCTTTGAGCCTTGTCTGTTCATCTAAAGCTGCTAAAGAAACACCAGTGTTGTGCAAACCCAGCTCAAGTGGAAAAAAGCTTCTTAAAGTGTTAAGTGACCATGCGTACTTAACTCACTGGTGTTTGGAAACAGCTCTTAATGTGTCTTTTTATTGGGTAATAATATAATGAAGCAATCTCACCACTCGATCGTTTAACTCTCCCATTTAATTTCCTAAAAGTCGAGGTTTGGTTGATAATACCAGTAAAAGCTTTTGAATAAAAAAGTCTTAACTGACTCACACCACAAATTCAGAGCTGCTGTCTTCGCTTATTTGGTGGTAACGTTGCAGCTCATCTTATTTGGTAAAACTGGATGTGAAGGGCTGATCATTTTTGAAGTGTATCTGTTCACACTCCTGTTTCTTTGCACCCTTCCCACTCATCATCACACCTCTTTCTCTCTCTCCTACAGTTCATTCCTGTAATGTCAGGTGTATGAATGGAGGCAGCTGTGCAGAGGATTCGTGCTCCTGCACCAAGGGCTACACGGGGAGCCACTGTGGACAACGTGAGTGAAATCTGCTGCACAGTCAGCTGGTGAATGTGTGTGGGGATAGTTGCACACTGTCACCTGCTAGAGTATGTAGTTATAAGGAGCAGATATCTTTTGAGGGATAAAAAAGGTGATGGAAATGGTGCAAATTGTCCTCACTTGAAAGACTTACTATAAGCCAACCAAATACTTTCGGTATGGTACCTTTGGGACCAAAAGTAACCCTTCAGACATGGTACCTAGACCCTAGCGTTTCCACCGCAAACCCTTAAATGTGGGCGGGGTTGTTGCCACTCACTGCTCCGCCCAACACTCACTGTATTTCCTCATCACTGGCGACACAGATTGAAGTCTGCACCCGGTTTATCGTCCACAGAACGAGGCTGCACGAACTGTACCATACTGAAATGCTCGGTGGAAACGTTATACATACATACAATACATATTTCTGTCTTTATATCTGGACTTCATCAGTATGCAGCAGCTGTACAAAGGACTTTTTTAAACTATTGGTTCAGCTTTCACTTGCAGCATGTCCAACCAGAAACACAGCACACTGTATACTTTGAATTGTATTGCCAAATACATGGTGAAACAAACAAGCTGTACTGTAGCTGTTTAAAGGAATACGTCACCCTCCAAATGACCATTTGTATATAAATGACTCACTCCATGTTAGGTTGAATTCATGGAGAGAAAATGTTGTTTTTCCTGCATGCCTTTGGTGAATGAAAAATCCCCAAAACGGAGGAAAATCCTTGAAGAATTGACGTCATAGGCGGCCACAGCAAAATTATATCAAAACATCCCTTTGCAAACTCTCACACAACTCGTTGAGTATAAACTAGGTCTCATTTATCCTGTTGTAAGCTCAGTGCTTCCCCAACAGTCAGCCATTTACGACTAGGAACGCATGTAGAAGAACTGAACTAAAGCAGAACTTCTCTATTTTCTCTTCAGAGCGACTCCATTGACAAAAACAGTAATTTTACCTCACTGAACAAGGGAGCTGCTGGTCGACTGCTGTCTCTATCAGTTCATATGTGTTATTGTGTGACTTTATGTTTTTAAAGGGTTTGTTCAGATTCCCCAAAGGCACACAATAACACAACAAACTACCAGTTGAGGCAGTGGTAGATCAGTGGCTCCTGTAACATTACTGTTTTTGTCAATGGAGAGCAGAGATAAGTTTTACTTTTAGCTCAGTTCCCCGCTGTAAAGGGCCGTCTGGGAAGACTGAGTATAAGGCTGGTTAAATGAGAGTGATTAAATTGCATGAGTTGTGTGAGAATTTGTAAACAGATGTTTTGAAATACTTTTTTTTTTTTACTGTTTTACTGTTGTTAAATGAGGTCGTCCATAACTTCAAATCATCGAGAAATTGGAATTTGGATTCTTTGCTCACCGTGAAGGCATCTGAGAGAAAACAAGGTTTCCTTATGAATTCTCTGGCTTGCATTAGGGTCGATTTTTGGGTTAGAGAAAAGCTTAAAGCGAGGCACGCAGTGAAGAGGGTTGGTGTTACTGGTCGAAGAACTGATGTCATCACTGAAAGTCCTCACATATGTTTGTAATACAAATATACAATGCTGTATGTGTTTGTGTGTTGGTGATGCAAGTGATTAAAAAGTGAAGTCATCTGAAGCTTTGTGAAAAATGTGTTTGTGTGTCTGTAAGAGAGAGAGAATGTCTTAAGTGTGTCATTCTCCGTGAATCACACTCCCTTCCTCTGTCTCCTTTAGCTGTGTGTGAGAATGGCTGCCAGAACGGTGGGCGCTGCATTGGGCCCAACAGATGTGCCTGCGTCTACGGTTTCACTGGCCCGCAGTGCGAGAGAGGTGAGTGCTCATCCTCGTTTCTGTGTTGAGACAGTGTGTTATGATTCACCCTGTCTCGCTGCACCTCAGATATAATACAGACCTGCTGGTGCTAGTCCTGGCTTGGTATTTTTGTGGGGAAACCAAGGGGTGCTAAAACAGGGGAACAATCCCTTATATAAGTTATTACAAAGTTATGCACACCCACAGTTTACACATTTTATGGGAGAGAAACAAAGACAAATATTAAAGCTACTTAAAGGTCCGCTGTTTTTGATTTTGCAGAGCAATTTACTGGTAACTTTGACGAGGGCTGCACAATATTGTAGTCATCATTGCGATGTCAAACACATCGTGGAAGACTGCGATATTACACTGAACATGGTAACAGCATATTAAATTACATCTTGTCTGTATGCGCTAATTTAACCGCTACACTTTGGGCAATCAGACAGAGCCTTCGCCGTCAGTCATCGCCTGACTTGTCAGACGAATCACACAATGAACTGAGGTTAATTAGACTTGTGCTGCCATATTGTTTTGCTTGGTTGAAGGAGGAAAGTGTGACAAGATGAGTGCAGACGAAAAAGCAAATGCCTAAAAGGAACTGGTGGCAAAAAAACAACAACACATCAGCCGACTGGCAAAGTTTTGGATATAGGAGAGACGACTTGGCACAAGCACTGTGCTGAGCCATGACCTGAGCACACTTTAATGTCTGTGTATTTATCATATATAATATCGTCATATTCAACAACGTTATTGCGCAATGCATTCTCATAGAATTGTTCGTATGATATCCTACAAAAAAATGCATGCAAAACAGTTTGTATGATATCGTATGACACAAATTAGCGCCCCGCAAATGACATTATGTCTTTAAATTACAGTTGCGAACTCAGCGTGAAGTTATGGAAGTTAGGGTTTGCCGAGTAAAGTTACTGTGGTTAGATTTAGGTAAAGCAACATGGTTGGGTGTCTTTAGGTTTAGGCAAGTGAAGTTACAGAGGTTAGGTTTGGCGAGGACGAACCTTAAATTGACTCAAAATTCACTCTGTTCCAAACCCGGGAGTCCAGGGGACAGTCCCAGGGGAAAATCCAGGGGGAAAGTCCAGGTTGTGAACCATCCACCACCCCAACCTTTCTCCTTACAAGACCACTTGAGACTGCTTCCTTGTTCGCTCCCATCAGCGGTTCGGTCACGTGACTGCAGCCTTTTAAAATTCATCTGATACGTGTGAATTTAGGTGCATTACTTTTCATTGGAAAACATACCAACAGTGAGAACAGCCTGTGTTGCTTATCCTCATATTGTGCAGCCCTAACTTTAACCTACTGTACTGTACTTGACACAGTTGGGCGTACACACAGTCTTTCATTTGCAATGACTGACTGTAACTGCCATTTTCTGTGAGCTCACTGTTTTCACCTCCAAATATGAGGTTTATATGGATGTCACAGTGTGTAAAACATTCATTATGACTGATGAATAATAATGGCCACTACTACTGTGCTTCTGTGTAAAAGTAAAACTAAAATCTTCCTTTAAATATACCCCATCCTGTGTACAGTGACTAAAATAGCCTTTATCGAGCTTGGGAGTCAGCTACTCCCTACCCACACTCTAATGTTAAGGAAGATATCAGAGCAGGAAGGCTTTGATGTGGCCATGCAGTCGTGAGCGTTGTTCCTATCAGTCCAGACATACTCACTCCTGTAAGGTGGATGACTTCATGCAGTTAGCTCAGACAGACAGTGGGTGTTCGTCTCCTGAGCTTTGAACAGAAGCCTGAGGTATGTGTGTGGTGGGAAGTGATGGCAGGGTGTTGGAAGTAGGTGGTACAGTCTCGTGGCAGATGGAAAAAATACCTGAATTGACGGCCGTGCTTAATTTCCGTTCACCTCAGGTCACCTTTTCAGAGAAGGAGAGGAACCTTTACACCTTTAGATACTCTCTGTCACCTAACTCACCTTTCTGTGACCCTCACCTCCTCCGTCTTTGCTCTGTTGTTACTGACACTGACAGAAGAGTGTTCTTGGCCTGTAATTTCACTCACCTCATTCATCTCTTCGATGCATTCCTTCCCCCCTACCTATACACGTTTTATATGTATGCATGCTTGTGTAAAAAAAAACAGCCATAAACACTCTCTTCCACATCCACTCATCTGTTTTCTTTCAAATGCTATCCTCCCCTCTCTCCCTATCCTCCAATCTTCTTCTGTCATGTTTGCATGTTTGTTGTTTTTACCTGTTTTCATCCGAGGCTACCTCTTCATCAAATTCTATATCTTTTCAAGCTTTCATCTTACCCTCCGTTCCTCAACTTGTGTTCCATGGAGCTCTGGAGTCTTGTTTTCTGGTAAAATACAACTTTTTGGGGGTTGAGTTCATCAGAGAGAGCCTTAAAAGACATCTGGCAATAAATACCCTCCCCTTCCTCCCCCCCGTCATCCCCACAGGACTGACAGAAAAGACTTTCTTTGTAGAGTGATCGTGGACATTTCCTGATGATGAGTGGAGAAAGGTAGGGAAGCAGAGAACGAGATGGAGAGAGGGATGGAGGGGAGCCGGGAGAAAGAAGGGAGGGACAGGGGTGAAAATGAAAATGGACTCCCCAGCTGTGTACACAAAGCCTGGTGGAGGGGAGTACAAACACTCTCCATGTTGCAGGAATGGGGAGACTGCTGGACCTGCAGGTAGTCGCAAGGGAAACACTTATAAATCTTTGTTTGTGTGTGTGTTTTTGGTGCCAGACATCCTTCAGTGAGAGGCGAGCTGGGCTAAATTTGTCTGCATAATTCATAAGAAATCACATTCGTGAGAGCAGACTTAAAAATGATCCTAGTTACCGCACGCTGGATATGAAAATTGAAAGTTCCAAAGTTGGACCTCAACAATTTGAATTTACAGCTACAACGTGTTTATTTTCACTCAGCTTGTCACTGCATCTTTAGCAAACAGGTCGCTGAGGAAATTGTTCTTCAGCTTGCCAGAAACTAATTGTTAGTGCGCAGACGAGAAGAAATTGTTCTCAAATTTCGAGTCTAATTATTCTGAGATTTTCTATAATTTTGATAAATTACCTGTATTTTTTTTTTAATATTGGGCTTGGCCTTAAATGGATGGATTCACCCTGGTGTAACCTCTGGTGTTTTTATTGCTCCCTTGGGTATTGTGGTTTGAGAGTTTGTGCAACTGAGTCCATGAGTCAGTAGATTTACTGAGTGATTCAGTAAGAAGACTGTCGATGAACTGTGATTATGAAGGCAGTGCAAGTCAACCAGTATGGGTGAACTGGGTGTGCTGAATGGACTCATGGGAAACTTCTCAGGGTTCGCGTGTCTGGGGTGTGTGTGTGCACGTGCGGCTGTGTGTTCACAGCTTGTATGTCCCTGAGGCTCGCTGACTTTGGTTAGATAGTGTTAGAGTTAGTCATTCGTCCTCATGTATAAAAAAGAATCCCCCCATCTACGCCATGAGTATCCCATCATTATTCAGCAGCGTTATGCGTGTGTCACTGTTTTGCTTCTCTGTATGTGAGTATGCATGGTTCACTATATCCATACCTTAATGTGAGTTTCACTCTCACAGAGTTGTGAGCATGGCTGTTGACTCTTTTGGCTGCGGAGAGTCAAACCATTTTTGGACCAAATAGTTCTGGGGACTCTGACCTTCAAGGGTTTCAAAGGTACCTTGTCAGTCATGGTTCCTCTTGTGCTAGGTGAGAGCCTACGCTGAATTAGGAGCTAAAAACATCCCTTAAAACAGTGTTGTAAGAACCATGATCGTTCCTATTTCTTAAGGTGGGTACACAACAAAAAAGAGGGTTCTTGAAACAACAACAGTCCCCCTGATGCATAAAAATGCCTCATGTTGCCTTGATTTGCGATTCCCGAGATGGACCATCTCTGGAGTCGGGTCAAAGCGTCCCCGACTGCCCCCAAGCTGGTTGTGATGACAGCAATTTGTGGTAGTTGCTCAGCAAAATTGTAACAAAAGTCTAAAGATCAATGATGAGAAGTAGCTGCCTATCAACAACATTGCAATCATCAACCTAATTGATTCAAGACAAGCTCATCATCAGTTAAAGACATACCTTCGAGCAGGTAGCTCTGCTGTATGGACATGCAAATCCCTGCAGTGTTCGGCTGACACACCAAGCCAAAGCCAAGCAGCACATGTGTACAGAAAAGGGCTATTAGTCTTTTTTGAAGGACTTTTTTTGGCATTTTTATCCTTTATTGAGTAAAAGAGACATATATAGTATGTAAGGGGAAAGAGATGGGAGGACCTGTAGCACTGTACCTTGGCCGGACTCAAACCCAGACAGTTGCGGTGAGCTATTTGCTGTAACTCACAATATTCACACAGCACAAAATGAGACAGATAATCTTAACATAAAATTTCATAAAATCATAAACTGCGCTCACACAGTCAAACTAGGTAGTTCTGATCAAATATCATTCAAGACTCTGTTACTGCATCGTCCATTTCTTGCCTCAGATATTTTCAGAAACATATAAGCTATGAAATGAGAAATGAGATATCTATCATAGTGGCCAGGTCACACTTTCTCATTTTACAGATAAACAGTACACTAAAAGCTGTTTGTGAAAACATCTGAGGTGAGAAATAGGTAATGTAGAAACAGAATCTAAATTCACATTAAATCAGTGCAACCTAGTTTAACAGTTTGACTGCAGTTCACTGTCAGTTGATTGCGTGAGAGACTCCTCAGCTCTGATTGGTTGTTTTTGGTGTGCTGCGGTAGATTTTAGCAAATGACACTAGAGGCAGTAGGAAGAGAATGAGGGACATGATTTCTTTTCACAGATTATCTGTCTCATGTACGTCTTTCAGAATGCAGTGACAGATTCAGCAAATATGACACAAAGTGATTTTCAGAGAAGTTCCCAACTATAACTTTAAGTGTCTGAGCAACACCCCAATATGAGCCCCACTGCATTAGTGTGTGTTAATGTATGTTTTTCACATCATTTCACCTGCGTGCGCACTAA